AAAGCCTAAAAGCGGCACCGCCTCTTTCTGTCTCATCCGCCTTCAACTCCCCCACTTGTGCCCCCGCACACCGCACCCCGCCCCATCGCGTCGCGCATGACCCCAACAATTTGACATAAATCTAAACAAAACAAGCCAAGCAGCCGGCCAGCAAAGTCCGCACCCGTATTCCTAGGATGCCTGTTGAACTGTTGCTGTAATCGTCGCAGTTGCTGGGTCATGTATCCTGCGAAAGGGCGTAGCTAGTATCTCATCCAGTGTGTTGTCTTGGTTCCAGCTAAGTAATATATATTAATTAAGATACTTTGTTTCTGGAGCAACTTTAAAACGCTAATACTATATGTGATTACTAAAAATGGCAACTTTAGCACATAACTACTAGCTTTACAAAGAGTAAAAGTACGTTTTTTAGTTTTATTAGTAACGAATGCTGCGAAACTAACTACCAAATTTGGCAATACTCTAACATCCGACTTACGCAAATACAAAATAGCCCGCGCTACTCTATCTGATTGTTGTCCTTGCAGGACGCTCCGAGCGATCCAGCGACGGCCGCAGGACGACTCCATTAATCAAGGCCGCAAACAAGCGTGGCACCCGCCGGGGAAGCGGGGTGGGGGGAAGGGCAGTGGTTGGGGTCGGAGGTCAGGCGATGACAATGCAAGTGGGCGGTGGGTGGGCGAGTGCTGGAGAAGGGAGCGTTGCGGAGAGGGGAGGGCACACAACTGCGGGCCACACATAAACATAAATAATTAGAATGATTCTTTAAAGGGCAATTACCTAATTTGGGGCGCTTTGAATAATTGCAGGCGACTGAAATGCCGGATAAACGGAGAGAGATAGCAAACGGACATCGGACATCGGACATCGGACATCGGACGACGACTGCACTAAGCGGCTTAATGCCCCAAAATGAAGATAAAGTGATTTCCAGTGTCGTTGCTGCTTTTGCCACTGCACACGCCCGAGAGACATTTAAATCCAAAACAGTTTGAAAATAATTAGAGCGTTTAGTGACCCCCCACCACCCACCACCCACAATGCTCGTAATTTCCCCGTCGGGAGATACGTTGAAATGTTAGACGCCACATCGGAGGGAGTGGAGAAATCCAGATGAAGACATCACCAGCTGGATATTGATTACTCTTGGAAATGCACTAATTGGGAAGGGGTAACTCAAGCTTCCCTATATGTGTGCTGCTTGTTTTAAATTTTAATCAATGCAGTTGCTGCTCAAATATATGAGCTTGTACTATTGCGCACATAGCTTCAATTTAGTCTTTGATTAAAGTTAAACTACTTACGCAGGCTTCAATAACATCTAAATCAATGCTTATGAAGACGTCGGACATTAATTTAATGCTGCCAGCCCTTCTGCTTTGCATAATAGCAAGTACTAATCAAACAAAATACTGAACATAAAAATCCAATTAGTGCTGCCCAGCCAGAGCCAACTTATTAATGATGTTCGCATTTAACAATTTATAACTTCTTCCAGAGATTTTCGCATTAATCGTAACTGAGATCATGACAAATTGCAAATACCTTTAAAGCAGTTCCCTGCTGATGGGACTGGACACCGGACCGCGGGACACTTCTTCAAATCGGGGACTCCGAGATTCCGAGACTCCGAGACTCCGCCACGTCCCAAGTGACCCAAAAGGACACGCAGCGAACCCTTGACTGGGTGGAAATCGGTGAGGAGGTGGCTGCCACGAAGTCTGAGCACAGCTTGAAGTTAAATAAATTAAGGGCAATTAGGCGCAGTATTACGGACACAAAGGTCGCTGGAAGCCACCAGCCACGTGGAGCTGGGCCAGGTGATTTTTCAAATTATGAACGCAAAGGTTGGTTTTTTGCGGCATTCCAGCGGCTGGCAGAGTCGAGTCAACTCAAAGTCATCTTCTGGTGCGGCTGCTGTGATTTTTAATTGTGCACTTTACACTGTAAATTTTACAGTTTTCCGCCGACAAGACGGAAGTTGTTCGGCTCGAAGATTAGCGGTAAGTTTTCTTGGCAGACAAGTGCAGAAAGCGTAACGCAAATACCAATTTGGCCAATTAACTGCGGCTAATTGTTGCGTACAGGAAAAAACGCTCAGACGCCAAATGCGAAACGTGAAAGTCAACAAAATTTATAACCACCAGAAGTCGGGGGAGTCAGCCAACAGTGAAGTGCAGCAAAAAAATGGTAAAAGGTGCAAAAAATAATAATATCAGTCGAAAACTGTTGATCATTCGCTACCGATCAGCGTTTTTTTCTTGCCAACTTCCGCTGCGGCCAAAAGTCATTTGCATAGTGGCCGAGTTCTACTTTCGCCAACCCAAGCAAAAGTTCGAGCGTGGCCAAAACCGAAGACGGAAGGGGCTGGGAAAAAGGAAGTGAAATATTTTTATGCGGAGAAAACAGTAATTTAATTATAGCAGATTTGCTTTGAAGGCAGTTTTGTATGTATGTTAGCAATTATTAAATATTATGAATACATTAAAGCAATTATAAAAGCTGAATACGTTAACTTTCAGTATGATCTTAGGCAAAATATGTTGTATACCTCCTTTTTGTTTTTCTTTATTTGTTCTCTAACCCTTAACCAACTATTTAAAGCAAACTTTAGGTACAACATAAATTAAATTGGACATAAAAGGCCAAAACATGAGAAGATCTTTCCACTTGATAATTCAAGCGAATAAAGTTCCAACTTTCAACCCAATCTGCTTAGTTCTGGGTACCTGAAGTCAACTCCGAGATACTCATGCATGACTGCCCGACAATTCAACGGAAATTCGACAGCAAAAAATGAAAAAGAAAAACCCAAACACGCAAGAGGAGATTTCACTTTTTGGAGCTTAGACAAACGAACGAACCAGTGGAAAATACAGCAATCATAACTGACCTTAATCAATGTCTGCAATGTTGGGCTTTCAGTTGTTTGCGTTGAGTGGGTGGGAAAATGGAAATGGAAATGTATCTTTTCGGAAAATGTATCTTGGAGTGTAACAAGCATATGCAATCGCGTTTTTTCTCGGCCGAAAGAGGACAACAAACAACAAGGCAAGTAGTTCTGCGCTGTTTTGTTTTTTTTTCCTTTTTTTTGCTGCTCCCATGCCTGCTTGCTGGCTGTAAACAAGTTTGCTGCGAAAACTTCTCAGGCAATCTGAATCTGTACCTGTATCTCGACGGAGGCAGCTGCTAGATGGTATGGCATGGCACATCTCGGCTGCAGTTTCATTCATATGGAATAGAGACAGGTTGGACGGGGTGTGGGGAGAACAGGTAACACTGAGAGCGTTTCCTGTCTGGCCAAAAGACACGAGAGGTATCATGTAGCTGCCCCGAGTCTTCCGCAGGTGAAGTAACTTATACGCAATTTCTGGCTCCACTTCAAGCTCAACTTGTGGCCCCTCGGGCTAATTAGTTTGAGCTCTTCTCATTCTCATGCCCAATCCCATTCCCAGTGTTGAGTGTGGCTCTGGTTCTGGTTCTGATTCTGATTCTGGGTCTGGTTCTGGAGCATCGTTAAACGAAGAGGAGATAGTTTTTTCTGACCGGATCGGTCGACATGAGGGCTCTTTCACTATGCAAACCGATCTTGAATGAACGAGTCGGCCATAAAATCATCACATTGTGAAATTTCTGCACACCGTGCAGCTCCGGCCAATTCATTCAGTTTAGCTTCAGTATCTCGTATCTGGCGGATGTGACTCATTCGGTCAAGACTGAAATTACGCCGCACTCGACTGGCAAAGCAAAGACAAGCGAAGCGAAGTCGCCTTTTTTCAGCTACTCATTCGACTTGCCGGCTGCAAGCTTAGCACTTCTTGTTGTTGCTCAGCACTGAGAAAATTTGTGTTGTGGTTTTAGCTTAAAAATTTGAAATGTAATGAACAAAATCAGTTACAAAAACTTTTTATACTTCAAAAGCATTGGCGATATCTAAATAGCGTGGAATGATAATTTATTACTAACTATGGTTTTTATAAAAAATAAAATAAACATTTTAACATTTAGTTTAAAATGTTTAAAATTAAGCAACAGAATATTTAAAAAGTTGGCTACATATTTTAAAGAAGTTCCAAAGAAATATGAAAAGTAAATGAAGTCAAAAATCAGTATAATCAGTATAATTATATGAAGTATAATGAAACAAAAATCAGCATGTTGGCCATATTTTCTCTTTCTGTATAGCTTTCTGCTTTAATTTGCCTTCTTTTTGTGTTTCAGTTGGTGTTTCATGCCTGAGTAGGTTGATCGCTGATTGACTGTAGGTGCGGAGGAGCAGCGGGGGCCTTGATGAATGGGAATGAAGAGTGGGGATGGCGAGTTGGGAACACCAAAAGATGTAAACAGTCTTCCCAACTTTGTAAGACATTACCAGGAGGTGTTAGTTAGTCGGAAAGGCATCTTTTTGCGAAAATAAAGAAATTAGAAAGCTGATTAGGATTCTACGCGGTGGCAAATTAATGTTATTAATGCCTTAGCTGTGAAAATGTGTTAAAAAACAATGGAATTTCCAAGTATTTCAAAGCGGTCACAATATAAATTGTGTTCCCGGCAGATACGAGTTAGGTCTACATTCTACATTCCTTTTAATTTTAAAAACTTATAAATACATTTGGCTGCAACCGCAACTCATATAATTATAAAGTAAAACAAAAAACGTCGGGCCAATTAAATGCGATTTAACGATGTCATGCGATCGGCCCACGGATGTTTATTTATACCGCATAAATCCTTGTTTATACTGCGCGAAGCCCATTCGAGATTTTTACAACGGAGGCGTGTGTAATATAATCCTTTCAACCGATTCGGCCGTCCCCACATGTTGCATGCGAATGTTGCGAAACGGCTGAAGCAACACGCGGCAGTGCTCTCCGCCTGCTCTCCGCCTGCTTTCTCCGTTTTCTCCGCTCGCGAGCCGAACGGCAGAAGAGCAGCCGAAGCGACTTCGGCTGCGCCCGAGTGGCAAAGCGACTGCGGAGGCTTTGATTGAAATCGAAGAAGCTCAGTTCAGTTCAAGTCGATGTACGCTGCCGAGCGGTTGCGTCGTTCCCGCTGTAGCAGTCGCTGTCGCTGTCGCTGTGTGTGTAAGAGTGCCGCTGGAGTGTGTGTCCGTGTGTGAGAGTACCGCTAGCCAGGACACACCGTTATTTTGTGCAGTGAAAAGAATTGCGAGTGTGCAATTGCAATGTGCGCAATCAATGCCTAGATCACAACTCATCGCGCCGCCCTCGCTCCAAAAATCCAATTCAAACATCATCCCCTTTCGCGTGGACCGAGGTTCGCTCGTAGCGCAAACGAAAACGAAAACGAAACCGAAAACGACGAAAAAACGCGATGCGAATTAAAGCTTTGCGTGGCAAAATGTGCTAACCGAAGCAACAAAACAAACCAACCATTCAAAAAAAAAAAAAAGTACCAAAATATACATACGTACATATTATATATACACATGTATAGCAGCACGTGAAGAAGGAAAAAATCCCGAATAGCTGAAGAAAATTGCGTAGAAAAATAGTAAAACAAAAATAGAAAAAACAGGCAGGGAAATACGAATTTCGTTGGCCGAAAAATAAAAACGATTATCATCCAAACGAGTGTGCCACTGTGCCAGTGTGTGTGTGTGCGAGTGAGAGCGCGCGCGTGTGTGTGCGGCGCTAGCCCTATAAATAACATTGGGTCTGGCCGAGCGCTAATTACGGCAAAACATGAAAATCTTGGCGAAAAGCGCAGCAACAACAAGTGAAGCCAAGGCGGCAATTAATCAATTTTCCGCTTGACCCATAAGGAAGGTTCCATATCATAATTAAAAGAGGGGAAGTCCGCAAAAACGAAGCATACAATCGCACGAAAGTAGGAGCAAAAGGTCAACCCAGCGAAACATATCCTTGAGTTACCAAAAAGCAATGCAAATTCTACATAAATTTAAGCGTGAGCAAAAGTTTCCATATCAACGCCGAAACTAATTTATAGAAAAGAACACAATATCACAAACAAATTAAAAACTAACAAAAAGTCCGATGGATTCGTGTGAAAATCGTTAACTCATCATATCATAACTGAAACAACTGGAACCCCATGATATTGCTAATCGCAAACAAACACTGGGCTTTGGCCTAGAACGCTCAACTAGAAGACTTAAAGAACAGCCAGGAAAATGCATATCAGGGAAGTGGTTTTCCTGCTCCTCACCCTGCTGCCTGGAATGATCCTGGCCAATCGCTACAACCAGCTGCATCTGTATGCCAATGGAGGAGCAACGTCATCGGGTCCTGGAAGCTACAGGCCCGCCCCCTCCTCACAGAACGAGGTGTACTCCGTAGCGGACAGCCAGCCGATGACCGAGGACGGCTACATGCCCCCCAGCCAGCACTTTCCGCCCACCCACTCCGACTTGGATCCCCCCGCCCAACAGCAGAGCACCTGCCAAACGGTTTGCGCCTGCAAGTGGAAGGGTGGCAAGCAGACGGTGGAGTGCATCGATCGCCACCTCATCCAGATACCCGAGCACATCGATCCCAATACCCAGGTGCTGGACATGTCCGGAAACAAGCTGCAGACCCTCTCCAACGAGCAGTTCATCCGTGCCAATCTGCTCAATCTGCAGAAGCTGTATCTGCGGAACTGCAAGATCGGCGAGATCGAGCGGGAGACCTTCAAGGGACTGACCAATCTGGTGGAGCTGGATCTGTCGCACAACCTGCTGGTGACTGTGCCCAGCCTGGCCCTGGGCCACATACCATCACTGCGCGAACTCACCCTGGCCTCCAATCACATACACAAAATCGAGAGCCAGGCCTTTGGGAACACACCATCGCTGCACAAATTGGATCTGTCGCACTGCGATATTCAGACCATTTCCGCCCAGGCATTTGGTGGCCTCCAAGGACTGACGCTGCTCCGATTGAATGGCAATAAGCTGAGTGAGCTTTTGCCCAAGACAATTGAGACCCTGAGTCGACTTCATGGCATCGAGCTGCACGACAATCCCTGGCTCTGCGATTGCCGATTGAGGGACACGAAGCTCTGGCTAATGCAAAGGAATATTCCCTATCCGGTGGCTCCGGTTTGCTCGGGTGGACCCGAAAGGATTATCGACCGCAGCTTTGCGGATCTGCATGTGGATGAGTTTGCCTGCCGACCGGAGATGCTGCCCATATCGCATTATGTGGAGGCGGCCATGGGCGAGAATGCCTCGATCACTTGTCGGGCAAGAGCGGTTCCAGCTGCGAATATCAACTGGTACTGGAACGGACGACTGCTGGCCAACAATTCCGCCTTCACCGCCTACCAGAGGATACACATGCTGGAGCAGGTGGAAGGTGGATTCGAGAAGCGGTCCAAGCTGGTGCTGACCAATGCTCAGGAGACGGATTCCAGTGAGTTCTACTGCGTGGCCGAGAATCGAGCTGGAATGGCCGAGGCCAACTTCACCCTGCACGTGAGCATGAGAGCTGCGGGCATGGCCTCCCTGGGAAGTGGCCAAATTGTGGGTCTGAGTGCCGCCCTGGTGGCTCTGATTGTATTCGCCCTTGGGGTTATCATGTGCCTGCTCCTTAGAGTCAAGCGGCAGCCGTATGTCGACAGCAAGACGCCCAATCACATGGAGGTGATAACATCGGTTAACCACCAGAACTCCATAACAAACAAGACCCAGCCCGCAACGGGCAATGGCAGCATTGGAGGGGTGGTCATCGCCAATGGAGCTGTGGCCAACATAATCGATGGCGGAGTGGTGCAGGGAGGTACTCTGGAGCGGAAGAGCAGCGGACGGGTGGGTGTGGCCCATGGAGGACACGATCAGCGCAGTGCGAATCCCGTCCAGAAACCGCCGAGGCTAACAGATCTTCCGTACTCCACGCAGGGCTACGACAACAACGGAAGTGTCCTGTCCACTGCCTCCTGCTTTATCTCGCCCAGTGGATCCACCGGAAACGGTGGCAACAATCCTGACCTCATCAACGACACCAAACGTTTCGGGAGCGACGAGTTTGCGGATCTGAAGATACCACCCATCAGTGGTGTTGGAGTGGGTGGCAGTGGGGAGTATAGTCGCGCCAACGGCTGCGACTCCCTGTATCCTTCGGGTCTGTGGGAACATGGTGCTCCAGTGGGGGCCACATCCGCGGATGACCTCTTCATGAAGCGCTACACCGACAAGACGCCCATCATAGACTCCACTCAGCTGTACGACCTCCACGAGCGAACGGCGGCCACGGACTATTTCAGCAAGACCTTTCCGAGATCTCATCTGCAGCAGGGGATGATGACGGGCGGCGGAACGGGTGGCGGAACCTCCACGGCGTCGACAGTGACCACCAATTTGTCGGGTGGCTCCTCATCGGGCTACCCCAACGATTATGGTCTGCCTCTGGTGCCGGGCGCCGAGCACCAGCACAACCACCAGCTGCAGATGCATCCACTGCAGCAGCTCCAGCAGCAGCTAACCTCCACGCTGAACCACCAGAAGCAGGAGGGCAGCTCCACCGGGAGCAGTCCGCACTTCAGTAGCCGCACACTGCCACGCCTGCACGATGGGAGCGGCGGGGGGGGCGGCAGCTCCCGGTCGTCGCCGACGCCAGCGGTTAGCGGTGGCCATGCCAACCAGGCGGCAAATCCCAGCACCTCCAGTTCCTCCTGCTCCATCCTGCCCAACGGACAGCCCATCAACGCCAAGACGATACGGGTGTGGCAGAAGGGCGGGGTGCCCGTCCTGCCACCCGTGACGGCGCTGAAAAGGGCCCTGATCAGCAGCAGCCGGAATTCGCCGGACGAGGGATACCAGGAAGGATGCGGCACGGATGTGTAAGCGCAGCGCTTCTCGGGGGAGGGAACGGCGAGGAAACCAAACCAAGAACTGACTAAACTTAACACAACTAAACAAAACAAAACAAATAAGACATAGCGACGGATGGGAGGTAGCTCTTTTTAGGTATACCACTGATAGATAGCTCCGGGGTCCTAGGCGAGCAGCGATTATTGTGCAAGCGAACTGTTTGTGATAGTGTCTGACAAAAAGATAATGCGAATGAAGATAATAATTGCCCAAAGCAAAGAGAAAGCTAAAACGAAATCAACTGCACTACACTAAAGTATACTCTCCTTGGCAAGTAACTCAACTAACTAAACTAAACTAAACTAAACTAAACTAAACTAAACTAATTGTAAACGTAAACTAATTTAAAATAGGATATGTACAGCATTCTTTCTTTGAATAACATGACAAGCTCTCAACTCCCCGCATAACGTAAAAAATAACCCAATAATATATGGAAAACCAACCATGTGAATGTAACTAAATCTATAAATATGAATATATACACATATATGAATATGTATGTGACTATGTGTGTGCATGTGTGTGTGTAATTTCTTGGTTGTTCGGTTAGAAAAAAAAGGAAAAGGAACCCAAAACCAATAAGCTCTTCCTCCAAGAGTTATTATCATAAATCAGACACGAAAAATCCCAACTTGTGGCTCAACATTTGTAAAATATACGTTCACATGTATGGTATGCATACGCATGGTAAAACTGCAGAAGAAGTTATATAAATCTTGGTAACTGTATATATTAGATAACCCATAGACAAAGAAACCCATTCTTGATCCGACTATTGTTGAAACCATTCTATGTCCCGATAGATGCTGTGAAATAATGTTAAACTAAGGCAGACTGTAAGTCTTACCAAAGTGGTAGCAGTGAAGAAGTTTGTTTGCATCCCTTGTTTTCTAATATACTACTCCTTTTTATATAGGAAATTATTGAAATGTTATCTATTGTTACTTTCATCTTCAGTATCAAAATGATTTAGTCACTCATTCTAATTTGCATTTATTTCCAATCACTTATTTAAATTCTTTTTTTATGGAAATGAATATTGTCCCAATGCCACAATTGCAATTGCAAAATTTTATCGTAATCAAGTGAAATCGATTAAACGTTATTTTACCCTCAGTTTACCATTTACCCTCAAACGTTATTTACTGCTACCAAAAGTTGAAGAAAAATATGTTGAAAGAACAATACCACATGTTTTAAATTTCCCAATAAATCTATCAGAAAGCAAGCTCCGGGGGAAAGAAATTTAAGAAAATAAAAACTGTGGGCAGTCAAAAAACAAACATGAAAACCAATCGGAGAAAATTCAAATTGAAGACAGAGAAAAATATTCGACGAATGCATACGTAATATAACATATGTAAATTGTACTCAAAGTGCACACACACACACACACACACACACACGTACATACACACTCACAAACACATCACAGGCAACAGAAATACGTAGCCAGATACGTGTACATGTAGATGTATGTCAGTTTGTCCTTGTAACGATTTAAAGCGTATCCACAAGATATTAATTGCCCGTATCTGCTAAGACTTAGAATTTAAGCAGACAACAAAAACCAGAAGCAAACACAAACAAAATAATATTTTTAAGGTAAACCAAAGACTTTTTTCTTTGCATCTAAATGAGCGCAGGAGTCTTCAAAGGACTCGCAACAACAAACAGTAGGTTCACACACCCATACACTCACACACAGATACAGAACATACACACACAGCCGAAAGTAATCTTAAAAGAGGAAAAAAGAGCAAGAAAAAAACGTAGCATTTAAGTTGAACTTATGTATTATGTATTGTATAATATAAACCTACGTATAGTATATAGTCTATAGATGTGTACACTTATCAACAGAGCGGCATAGCTAACAAGCGAGGGCAAGGGAGGGAGAGAAAGCGGGAGAAAGTCGAGAGCGGGCGGGAGAGGGAGAGGGAGAGGGAAGATAGCCCGCAGACAAAAGGCGGGCATTGAATGCATGAAAGCAACTGAATGAACAACAAAGCAAAAAGGAAATATATATAACATTATATATATCTATATATAAACGAAAAACATAAACCATTGTCATTATTTTTCACCACCAAGATTTCAGCCAAAGGTAGGTATGGTACATGGCAGCGGAGCAGAGGGGGGAGGGGTGGATCCCGCCGGTCACCTGGGGATGACATGACCCAATTAGTTGGCCATTCGAATGCTGTCCGAAGATGGGGCTAAGCCCAAAGCCGGCTATGCTGCGCTTCCCATGTTACTCGCTGCTGCGCTTTGGCATATTAGGGCCAATCGTCTAATCGCCAATTATGCATTTCAACCTCAAACCCAACCGACACCCAGCCCCAACCCAAAAAGCCAACCTCACACTCACGCAGGCAAACTAAAAGTGTGGCTTGAATCGATGTGGCTAATCGGGGGAGGCCAAAATCATGCCCATGAACGGGGCAAATGGAATACCCTTAGGTACAACAATGTAACTTAGAAAAACTTCGCATTGCTGGTTGGCAAACTTAAAAGTGACATGGTTATGCTTTTTTATTACCCTTACAAAATATTAATTATTTAAACTGCTTCAAAATATTGCAAAACTTTTTAGTATAACCTGGAATAAGTTTGTAGATTGGAAATTCTAAATATGTCATAAACAGATTATCCTCTATACAACCGTTTTCAAAGCTTGCTATTTTTACTCACCATAGGTATTTGGAAAAACAGCAACCGAGCAGAGTATAGAGATGAAAAGCTGTCTATTTTAGGGTTTCCCTTTCAAATGCCCGCTATCTTTAATCCCTGAACTTGTTCGGACTGAACTAGTTTTAGTCAGACGTTTTCCATAGCAAATTGGAGATGGCTTTTTAGCAAAATCCAGGCGACCTCTACTCCATCAATATGCACCCTGCGACCCAGTGGCCTCTTCACCAAAGCGTGTGCCCCTGTTCCTGGATGAGCTGCCTTTGGTGGGCGGGAGTTGTTAGGCAGCGCGTAATATATACGGCGGCCCATTGCCAGATTATATCATGGCGTGCGGCCATGCCAAACTGTCTGGGCTGAACCGGCCGACCCCTCATCTGCGGATATGGCCACCAAGCCTTATTGACGACGCGCAAAGTTTGCCAACTAAACAAGTTTTGTGCCTCAAATGAAATTTAGGTTGCAACTGAAGCCCAACAAAAGCCAAACAAAACACAGGCCAACAGGCGAATGGAGAGCGGGTGGTTGGCAAAAAATTAGAACTTTTCTGCGCCGAAGGAAAGTGTATTTTATTTGTTCAACTTTATTACGTATACGTGCCGTTGTGCCGCCTGTGCAAATAACCAAAAATGCAAAACGTGGGCTCCGCTGACTACCCCTCCAATTGGACCCCGCACTTGCCATTCCCACCAGGCGATCTCTAATGAAGCCTCCGACATTGTGGCATCGTCAGGTGCTCGTCGCACTTTTATGTTGCATACATTTCTGCGCTTTTGGGCGCTCTGTGCTTAACGACTTTGGCCAACACATGCCTACACTATGCCAAATTGAGGCATAGAAATTAGCAAGGCAATGGCACAGCATTGAAAATGCACATTTAAATTGGGAAAAAACCGAAAAATAAATAACACTATTCAACGATTTTATTTTCTTACTATTTCTTCAGATTACTATCAAAGAAAAACTGTTAGTGAAATATAATGATAATAACTAATAATAAAAACTATAATAATAACTAATAATTCTATAAGACTTTATGTTGTATATTTATGTGTCATATTTTCCATGGATTTGCAATTTGAGTGTATCGCAGTATTATTTCCATCCCCACAGCGAGCAATGCGAAATTTATAAGCAAAAAAAGAGCGAAAAGAAGAAAGGTAAGCCAACACACACGCAGCAAATACACGGCACTCGCTCTCACTCATATATGCCTAAGCTAACAGACAACGCGCCGTAAATATTGTTGAAAACGGCAGTTTATTTTTGGGGAGCCCAGAAAACATCATTCAATCGAGGGGCTACGGGCTTCCGACCGGGCTAAGCCCAGCCAAGCCAGGCCAAAAACCCGGCCATCTTAGGTCCGATTCCGGGGATCCTGAGGTGAAGGGGCGACGGACAATCGGTAACCGCTGATGGATGTGAGCAGCAGCAACAAAGAGACAGCTGCTTGAGGTGCACGGGCATAATGTTGGGCGATATTTTTGTACCGTTTTGTTTTCCTGGCCGTTTGCGTGTGTGTGTGTGTGTGCCCAAGGACCAAAAGCGACCGCAAGTTAAATAAGGAGCATGAAAGAAGGAGACCTAGGGAAATTCGCTGGCGTTGAAAGAGCGGCTGGGAAATGCTCTATGACAAAGAAAATCTTGACAGTTATCCTCACATATAATATATATATTTTTGTGGCGCTCCTAAGAGGTAAGTATTGTACCGGTATGTATTATAAATTATTAATAAATTTATTTTGCAAACATGCTAATTAAAAATGTTTTTATGTATATTCAACAACTTGTGATGTATGAGGAATAGCGTGATTCCAAATGTTGTAAAGGAAAAAGGGGATGTCCTGCTGACAAATTCAGCTTTGCATAGTGTATAAATGACACACACACACGCCAAACTGGGGACACACACGCACACAACAGAGGCTCAGGACGAGAGTCATAAACACAGACTGAACAAAGAGTTGTCCTTTGACTGTCAAGCACACACACTCTCGCGCACACATGACTCCTGCTCGTCGAGTGTGTGTGTGTGTCTCTTTAGCGTCTCCAGGATTTAATGGCCTCATTAATTTTGTATGCTTGGCCTTAAATTATTTTACTTGCCTGCCCTGCTCAGCTATTCCATTAACTTGACTTGGCTATGCCCACAGCCGCATGCCACGCCCCCACTCGTCACTCGACGCCCAAACGCCCAAACGCTCCAACGATCCAAAGTGGAGAAGGGTGAGCATATTACACTGACGGAGTTGACTCGACTACATTAATTTACATAAGCTTAATTGTTTTATTTAATCAATAAAAATAATTAAATGCCATGTGCGTAAGTAATTAAAACAAATCGCTTTTATTGCCCGCCCGAAATTGAAATTGCATAAACATAAACCGAACCGAACTGAACCGAAAATAGTGCGACAGGCAGTCAAACAAAGGACTCAGACCGAAAAATTTGCATGCAACATGCTGCTTTGTCTATTTAATTACTGCACATCAAACATTAATCACCAGCCGAAATGCAAATACGCAGGGGTCCGTAAAAACGTATTTTTGGCCAAATGATAATTCTGTTTTGGTCGGCAAACAGAATTTGACGCCCCAACCGAGAAATCTACGGTAGAGAATGGCCAAATCCATAAACCAAATTACTTGATGCTCTGGTTTTTGGCCGAATACACATGTGCATGTCTCTTTTTCACTTTTTATTTAGCTTTGGCAGTTTTTCAGCATAATTTATGGTGCACATAGCGTAAAAACCAGAAAAACCCCAGCAAATCAGTAGGAGAAATTATGC